GCTCCCCCCTGGGTTTCTGATCACTGTCAGTGGCAGGGGGCTTCTTCCTGCTTTCCCTTTCGCTTCCCTGCATTGTGCCTACATATGCAAATTAACCGCCATCTTTGTTGTCAGTTAACTGCCATCTGAGTTGGCAGTTAATTTGCACATAGCCCTGATTAGCCAATGAAAAGGGTAGCGTCGTACGCCAATTACCATTTTTCTGTTTTATTAGTGTAGATTGATTAAGAGAGGGACAGAGAGATAGAAACATCAACGATGAGAGAGAATCAATGACCGGCTGCCTCCTGCACGCCCCCTACTGGGGATCAGGTCCACAACCCGGGCATGTGCCCTTCGCCGGAATTGAACCTGGGACCCTTCAGTCGGCAGGCTAACGCTCTATTCACTGAGCCAAACCAGCTAGGGCCAAAACATTTTAAATTGTGATGGTATAGGTGACATTGTAGCAATGACCAAAAAAGTAATTAACTACTCTTTGTGGCACAGAGATGGGATTTTTGAGGGCGGTACTTAAAAACGTTTCCACTGTTGTCAATGTTAATTCAAGGGTATGTCCTGCATAATTTCCATATCCACACTTAAACACAGAAACAAGATTTTCTGACGTTTAAAATCATCCCAAAATGAAGAATTTGACTGGATTTTGAACATACTTGCTATAAACATTAAAAATGTAAGACCTTCCCATCATTTTTAAGAGAACTATTTGAGCCAGGCTGGCGTGGCTCAGTGGTTAAGCATCAACCTATGAACCTGGAGGTCATAGTTCAATTCCCAGTCGCATGCCTGGGTTGTGGGCTTGGTCCCCAATGAGGCCATGCAGGAAGCAACCGATCAATGATTCTCTCTCTCTCTCTCATCATTTATTTTTTTATCTCTCTCTCCCTCTCCCTTCCTCTCTAAAATCAATAAAAAATATATTTAAGTAAAAGAGAGAGAGAGAGAGCACTGTTTGAGATTCAAAAAGTTGAAAATTGAATAGAAAATTTCAAACAAAATTCTTCCAATAATTAGAAGATGCAAATTCATTTGTGATTGATTAAGGGGAGCCAACAATGCTACATATCTTTGTAATGTATCTTTTTCAACTATGAGAGCTGCTAAAGTATTAAAATAAGCTGATCTTAGAGTAAGACCTCTAACTTACTATTCCACCAAGTATTACACCAAGATTTCAAAACCTAAAAGGCAGAGGCCATCACATGCTGCTATTAAAAAGGAGCAAAAAGGTTTCTGAACCTTTAATAAGGGTCAGATTATCTATAATGCCTACTATTTTGGTGGAGTAGTCTATAATAATAAAAGCATAATATGCAAATCGACTGAACAACAGAACAGCAGAATGATCTGGGAGCCCTGGCCAGGTGGGCGGGGTCTCCTTCTGCGGAGCCATTGATCACGAAGCCCCACTGTCAATCAATCCACAGAGGGAGACCCAGGCCACCGGTCAGCGATGTTGTGGCAGGTGTGTGGGGCCGGCCAGCGATCGCCCCGGAGAAGGAGGCCCAGGCCAGCCAAGCGCTCGCACCCCATGCCTGTCGCCCACAGAAGGAGGCAACTGGTGGCGGGGGGTGGGGGCGTGGGGAGGTGGGCAGCGCCAAAGATGATAAGCAGTGGCAGCAGTGGGGGTGGGGCCAGCTGCTGGCAGCAGGGGGAAGAAAAGCCCCAATAGGCCCTGATCGCCGGCCAGGCCTAAGGACTCTACCCAAGGGGTCCCGATTGTGAGAGGGCGCAGGCCGGGCTGAGGGGGACACCCCCCGTGCACGTATTTCATGCACCGGCCTCTAGTACATTATAATATTCATGTAAGTCAGCATGAATGTTTATTAAAGTATATACTTAATATTTTTACTGTCAGAAATACTCTATAAAAGAGTTAGAGACAGATGGGTTGAATTGTGTCCCCTAAAAAAAAATATGTATGCTGAAGTCCTAACCCCCAGTATCTCAGCATATGATCTCATTTGGAAAGAGGGTCATTGCAGAGGAGACGAGTTAAAAAGAGGTCATACAAGAGTAGAGTGGGACTCTGTTCCAATACAACTAATGCCCTTGCAAGAAAATGGCCACGTGACGACAGACACACAGATGTAACAGAGGACTGCAGTCCTGCGTCTACAAGCCAGGAGTGCCCACAAACCACCAGAAGGTAGGAAAGGCAAGGAAGGCTTCTCCTACAGGTTTCAGAGAGAGCATGGGCCTGGCAACATCTTGAATCTGGCCACGTGCCCTCCAGACTGTAAGGCAGTGATGGTGAACCTTTTGAGCTCGGTGTGTCAGCATTTTGAAAAACCCTAACTTAACTCTGGTGCCGTGTCACATATAGAAATTTTTTATATGTGCAACCATAGTAAAACAAAGACTTGTATTTTTGATATTTATTTTATATATTTAAATGCCATTTAACAAAGAAAAATCAACCCAAAAAATGAGTTCACGTGTCACCTCTGACACACGTGTCATAGGTTCGCCATCACTGCTGTAAGGCAATACATTTCGGTTGTTCTAAGCCCCCTAGTATATGGCATTTTGTTACAGCAGCTCTAGGACACTAATACAGAGATCGCAGGTCAAGGCCAGCAGCTGTAGTGCACGGGTGGCTGACTACCTATTCCTTCCCCCAGTATCCTGAGGTGTGGAGAAATGTCCGGAGGACAGCCACACCCGCCCGCATGCCCGCATGATGCCATATTTGCACCAGCACGTGCTGTGGAGGCGGGGACAAAGGAAGCGTGTGGGAGGGCCTCCGGGACTCCTCTGCAGACGCACCCTTCCCCCTTCCTCAGGAGGGCGAAACTGCTCCTCTGGCGAAGGAGAACACATCTAAACCATGGAAGACACCTCAATCTGTGCTCATGCAGACCCAGAACTCAAATTACGCTGACTTTCATTTCATGTTATCACCAAGTATGGTTTAAATAATTGTTTCCCCCTGGTTTCAAAAAGAACTCTTTTCTATGAAAAGTTTGGAAACCTCAGAAAAGCACACACAAAGCAACAAGAGTTACTGTGAATACTTTCTGGAGTGTCCGCCCCGCCTCCTCTCTAGGTGGTAGGGCCTTTCGCGTTTTGGCGGGACAGGCTTCAATTTCTTGTTAACTATGTTTTTGTGAGCCAACTGGAGGACATAATTCCCCTATGCCAAATTGTTTATTAATAAGAAAAGACATTCTGAGTTCCGAGTCCACCTTTCATCAATAAGCTTTTGACCCAACAATCAGTAGAAACTGAATATTTTGCAGCAGTCATAGCCCCCGTCATCTCCTCGACACTCACCGGGGTTTTGATGTAGGTGTGGGGGTCGGGGAACTCGGGAAAATGGCTGGGGATGTGCGGCGGGTGAGGTCGGTTCTGCCCCGCGGTGAGAGCTTTGGGGGTCACTGGCTGATTGGTCACTGGAGCTGCAACAGAGTCACAACTGGTTACTCTTCCACCCAAGGACTTGGGTCTCTACCCAAACCCTCCTTTCCTCAAAGTAAATGCTGTATCTCAATTTTCTGAACAACGGATACTTTGTACTTTTATTTTAAAAAGGCCTTGATGGACTTAAGGACCTCAGGTCACCCCCACATGCCCAGGCCTGCTGAATGACCTTGGGTGACATTCCCATCTACAACAATCTGTCTGCAAGCTTCTTAGGCAGGTGAGTGGTTTGCTGTGACAATGTTCACATCACAAAAGAGCCACAGAGGCTGCCGAGTGACCAAGGAGTTAGGTGAGCTGTTAACTCTCTTTTCATAGAACCCAGATACCAAAGTCATACAGTACGCCAAGGTAAGCATGGGATTAAAAATGGCACCTTCGCTGCTACTTGAGAGGGAAGGTCTTCAAAAGATGTCAGCTAGAAAAAAGTGGTGGGAAAAAATCAAGTGAAGTCTCCCCAGGTCCTACCAGCCCACACTGGTTACTCCCAGCTCAGTTTATGGCAGTCAGCTTCCATCTAAGGCACAGGTCGTCTAACTGTGCCTTCGACAGAGTAAATGTTTTAGGTTTTCCAAGCCATACAGTCTGTCACAACTGCTCAACTCTGCCATTATAGCACAAGGCAATCAAAGGTCAGTACACATGGCTGCGTTCCAATAAAGCTTTATTTACAAAAACAGGTGGTGGGCCACCTTAGGCCTACAGACCTTAGTTTACTGACTCTCGATCTAAGGAAGAACTAGAACACTGGCATTTCTCAAGCAGCATCAACTGCCCGTCTAGGGCTAAAGCACAAGAATCACAGCAACATCTCAGAGGGTTTTCCTTTCTGGTGACAGAACGTCAGGTCCCAGTCCCATCAGCCCAAACAAAGGTGATGCTACAGGTAGCCCCAGCTGATGGAAGGGAGCCTGCAATAAGGAAGCAGCTGGACAAACGGATCCCTGCCCTATTTAATTCATTCATTCCACAGCATCAACTGAGAACTTACTGAGGGCCTCAGTTCAAAGTCACTTACGGGCAGTAATGACCATCCTCTGGGACCGTTTGGCATAAGCAGGGAGAGTGTCCACGTTGAACCCTAAGAAACAGGAAAACAAAAGTCACTGCTGCGCAGACCACCAGATACTGAACTTGGGAGAGGAACGTTGTGCTGAAATAGCTTAAACTCCCCACTCAAGCATTTTGCTGCCACTAGGAAGCTCCAGCAGATGCCCACCAGGGAGTTAGGAGGTCTCTTAAACAGGTTCAGAGGAACCCTCAGTTGGTAACCCCCTCGAGCTAAAAACCGACCAGAAGAACCATAAGGGAATTAAAAAACACTCAGCAGATGTGGCTCACTCCTCACTCTCTCTCCCATAACTCCAACTCAGCTGCACTGAAGAACTGGAAACGTGTGCACTCACCCATCTCAACAAGAGTGACCACGATATCTGACAGCGTGGGCTGGGTCCTGGCTGTGTGCTCACAGTAAGACTTGGCGCTTCTCCCAATTTCCGAAATGTCTGGGAAAGAATCAAAGGCATAAAGTCTTATTCTCAGTTCCCTAAAAGGTAAGCAAAGGATTAACATATGAGCCAGCAACTCGACTCCTGGGTATATTCCCACGCAAATTGTAAGCAGGAACATAAATAGATACTATGTCCATAGCAGCATTATTCACAATAGCCCTAAGGTGGGAACAACCCAAGTGTCATCAAAAGATGAATGGATGAAAGTTAAAAATAATAATAAACCGCCGAAACCGGTTTGGCTCAGTGGACAGAGCGCCAGCCTGCGGACTGAAGGGTCCCAGGTTCGAATCCAGTCAAGGGCATGTACCTGGGTTGCGGGCACTTCCCCAGTAGGAGATGTGCAGGAAGCAGCTGATCGATGTTTCTCTCTCATCGATGTTTCTGACTCTCTATTTCTCTCCCTTCCTCTCTGTAAAAAATCAATAAAATATTTAAAAAAATAATAATAATAAACCTTATTTTAAAAAAATGAATGGGTGAACAAAATGTGGTCGATCCATACAAAGATTATTATTTAGCCATAAGAAAGGAATGAAGTAGCCCTGGCTGGTGTGGCTCAGTTGGTAGAGTGTTATTCTGTGACCAAAAGGTCACCAGTTCGATTTCCTGTCAGGGCACATGCCTGTGTTGCATAATGGAGGTGGCCGATAGATGTTTCTCTCTCTCTCTCTCAAATCAACAAAAACTTAAATAAATTTGAAAAGAAAGGAAGTACTGACCCATGCTACAAAGATGAACCTTGAAAACATTATGCTAAATGAACTGAACCAGACACAAAAAGGCAAATGTTTTAAGATTCTACTTATATGACAGAAAAAAAAATCCATAGAGCCAAAAAGTAGCTTAGAAGTTACCAGGGGCAGGGGGAAGAGGTGATTAGGGAGTTATCACTTACAGGTTTAGAGTTTCTGTTTGGAATAATGAAAAAGTTCTGGAAATGAATAGTGTTGATGGTTGTACAACATTGTGAATATATTTACTGCCACTGAATTGTACACTTAAAAATGGTTAAAATAATAAATTTTATGTTATGTATATCGTGCAACCAAAAAAATGGTCTTATTGTCTGGTTGTCTGTCTAAAGCTGAACCTCTGTTTAATAGTCATGCTTTCGTCCTTCCGAGAAAGGGGAAGGTATGAAACAGACTTCATGAATGGGCTTCAAGGGGATGGGAGATTCCATGGAACCTGAAATTGTGCTCAATTTTACACACACACACACACACACACACACACCCCTTTTCTGGGAATGGTCCACAGAATTCATCAGATGTAAGGGATCCAAAAAGGTTCAGAAGATAAAAGCAAGTCGGGAAAGGTGTCTAACTGAAAACCTATCACCAACTTGCCATGCTGCCCTGAGCAAGCCACTAATACCAGCCTTTACACAGGAAAATGGTGGGCAGCATCTTTTTACCCGGGGGGGGGGGGGGTGGGAGGGGAGGGGAAGGATCTAATGGGAACTATTAGACCATTCCTTTCAGACAAAAGTTCTCAAAGTGTGGTCTGGGAATCCCTAGGCGACCCTATAAACCTTTCCAAAGTCCACAGGTCCAAAGTGTTTTCATATTCAATTTTTTAAAAAATATATTTTTATTGATTTCAGAGAGGAAGGGAGAGGGAGAGCTAGATACATCAATGACAAGAGGGAATCATTGATTGGCTGCCTCCTGCACGCCCCCTACTGGGGACTGAGCCCACAAACCTGGCATGTGCCCTTGACCAGAATCAAACCCAGGACCCTTCAGTCTGCAGGGCAATGCTCTATCCACTGAGCCAAACCAGCTAGGGCTCATAATCAAATTAAGACATTTTTTTATTTTTCTACTCATTCTCTCAGGCAGTTTTCCAGAGGCTATCTGACCTGGGATGACATCATGGCTCTGATGGATAATGGATCATACGCTTGTTCACTCTCATGTTTTAAAATTTTCTGTTTTACTTTCTAATGTGGCAAAATATATACACATATATATTTATATTTATATCTCCATCCCACTTATATACAATTCCACAGGGTCCTCAATATTAAGAGTCCACAGAGGTTCTAAGATAAAAAAAAAAGTCCAAGATCACTGCTTTAGGAAAACATTTGGTATGTAAAAGTTCCAAATGTCAGAGAGCCATCTCACCTCGAACTTGCCCTTCCTGGGGCAGTCCACATCTAGTGACTGATCAAGACCAAAGTATAAAGGCAGGGCCCTTTTCCGCTGGATGTGGAATACCTGATGGGCAATTATCATCCTAGAGCTCTCCGCTGCAGTGGCCAAATTTTTGTTTGGCCTGCACTGCAGTTCAATTTAGTTCAATTTCTCCCTCTGCCTAAACCATTCTCTCACTGTCATCCATAGGTGTTGGTACCCCCATCCCTCATCCCATCCTAGTCCCCAAAAAGGCCCAAATAGGGAAATACATTGTATATGCAGAAAAGGCAGTATGAGACCATTCTAGGGTCCAAAATCTCCAGGCATTTACTTTTTAAAAAAATATATTTTTATTGATTTCAGAGAGGAAGGGAGAGGGAGAGATAGAAACATCAATGATGAGAGAAAACCATTGATCTACTGCCTCTTGCACGCCCCCCACTAGGGATGGAGCCCACAATTCTGGCATGTGTCCTCGATCAGAATTGAACTCGGGACCTTTCAATCAGCAGGCTGACTCTCTATCCACTGAGCCAAACCAGCTAGGACTCAAGGCATTTCCTTTTAAAAGTGTTTTTTTCCCATTCTATAAAACGTATTCACCCTTACCCTTTGTATCTTTGTATATAATACAGCATTGTATTATATTATGTGGTGGCATCTATTTTGTAGAAGTTAATCCTAACTCTCCAATAAAATTGTAAGTTGAGTACAGAACATAAACAGCAATAACAGCTCCTGCAAGTCATCAAGAGCTTACAATGTTCCCAGCATCGAATGATTTACATACGTGTCTCACTTATACTCACAATTCCACAAGGTGCAAATTATTATTCCATTTCACAAATGAAGAAATTAAGAGTCAGGAGGCCTAGCAACTTGCCCCAACTATTAAGTGGTAGAGTGATGACTTACACCAGGTCTATCTGATTTCTAAAGCCTGTAAGTCACTTGACTGTGTTCTTTTTCTTAAATCCTCTCTAACATGATCACAGTGCAGGACACGGCACTGATGTGTGGTTGACCTGAAGAAGGCCTGTTGTTCCTGATACTTACAGCTCTGTAGCATCTCTGTCAATGTTTCCACGGACGCTTTCTCAGCACTCTCAAACCCTGCCTCTGTCAGCAAGGAGCTCACCACCACTTGCAGGGTTCGCCTCCGGGCCAGATGGTAATTGTCAGCAGGGTTAGTGGACTGTTTACCTCCGGATCTCTGTGAATCAGCAGCCCAGAAAGAAAGAAGATTTTCATCCACTAAACAAGGATGCAATCACATAGTACACACATCGTCATGGCAAGCAAACATTCATTTGCTAAATACTTACCTACCAGTGCTTAACAAAATGTGATAGCCAAGTAAGTAATAACTGAGCAGCCAAGAGGCTCTAAATACGGAGACAGCCTTTCTGCTTCTCTAAAACGTAAACTTCTAATAACACAAATGGCTGTTTCTTACTTTCTGTTTTAGCAGATTATGAGGCTATACAGCTGAAGAAACACGTATGATGAGACTGAATTTATTTCTAACTCTCAGAAAAAAAAACCCATCTCTCTTGTTCCTCCCATCTGCACACCACTTCAGTAACAAGGGAAATTAAAATAATAACACATGGTGCTGAGGAGAGGAGGGCAAAGGATAACAGCACCGGAAAGTAGGAAAGATAATATTTTGAAACAGGAATCCCTCCCAACTTTGGCTAGCCAATAAGAAGGCGGAAACGGCCTCTTCGGACCAATTAGGAGGTGTTCCGGGTTCCCAACCCCGAAACGAGCCAATCAGCACACGGGTCCACCAACTCCGAGGCCGCCGCCAAGTCCCAAAGAGGGAGGGCAGGTACGGCCTGAAAAACGCCTCCTCCATACGGAGTTCTTGGTGGGGCTGGATGTCTGGGAATAAGCCTGTTGCCCCGGCTAGGGGAAAGCTGCAGAATGCCCCGACTCTCCCAGCTTCAACTCCGCGCCTCCCGCCCTTACCGCTCCGGAGCTGCCAGCCCCCGCAGTGGCCATCGTGTCGGCCATCTTGCTCTGGCGTAACGTGCGCGAGCGCAGGGCAGGATGGGATTTGTAGTCCTCCGGCGGGGAGGGGCGGGGCGGTGCTCGCACCTCTGGGTTTTCCAAAGCCCAACCAAAGGGGGGGGGGGGGCGGGGGGAAGAGAAGGTTTCTGATGACCCGGCTCATGTGACCTACACTGAGCGATGGGTTGCTGTAAGCCTCGAAATTGGCCCGGAAAATGCGCCCTCGCTTGCACACCTCTTTCCCCATGAAATCGTTTCTCATAAAGAGCACACCCCTGGAACGCCCCAAACGTGGCTGTTAGCAACACCTAGCTAGGTCCCGCCCAGTGCCAGTGACTCACAGTCTGCGGGAGGGGCCCGAGACTACGTGTTGTTAACCTCTCCAGGTGATTCTTCTGCAGCAGGAAATTTGGGGAAATTTAATGCTGTGCTGCGGGTCTACGGCCTGCCAATGGCCCACTTGCAGCCTAGTCCAGGTCTTCCATTGCACCCTGCTGTCCTCAATCGGCCGGTAGTTGCCGGGCCAGCCGGGAGGCGCAGAAAGCAGGGGGCTCTGTCCCTTGCCCGCCTCACTCCCAGGGCCGGCGGTGCCTGTGGGTGTTCTGTGCACTTGCTCGCCAGCCCCTCCGGATGGGGGTTCTTCTTGCGGGGCCCGCATCGCGCCTTATTCTTCTCCGTTTGCAGATGCCTGGCAGGACGCAGACGCTGGGTTTGAGTTCTAATGTCGCTAGCTGTGGGACCACGGGCACATGCCCTAACCTCACTGTGCCTCAGTTTCCTCTTTTGTGAAATGGGTGTGATTGATAGCGGGGGAGGGGGGGAGGGAACGAGGGAATGCAAACAGGGTCTATCGCGGGGCTAGACGTAGAGTCAGAGGTCAAGGAACATCGCCTACTGTTGTTTATTCCCAGGGTAGCACGTGATTGAGTGGCGAATGCCGTGAAGGCAGACGTCTGGAAACGCACCTTCCCGACCACACGCACCTGAGCCTGGGGGACGCCGCCACCCCCTCACCCCGGGCACACGGACGAGGTCTCAGGCCCTAACCTTAGCTGCGCAGAGCACCCAGCCCCCTTGGTCTCCCCCGCCCCCTCTCCCCCACTTCCTGCCCAGCTTTCAACTCGCGATCAGCGGCTCGGCTAGGACTTTGTAAACACACCGCGCCTGCGGGGGCGGAGACTCATTTTATTTGGGCTCCGGAGCGAGTGGTTCTCGCCCCTCCCCGCGGCTGAAGGCTGCGACCCCACCTCTCAACTCCCCGAGACTGAAGCCGGAGGCTGCGGGAGAGTGTCTTCGTCGCAATAGATGCTCCGGGGGGGCTCACCTGCCAAGGAGGTAGGCTTGAAGGCTGGAGAAGCCAGGATAATGGGGGTTCAGCACCCCCCGTTGCTGGGACCTCCAAGCTCAGGCTGGACTCCCGGAGCCGGGGGTGGGAGGTTGGTGGGTTGAGGAGGTCACCGTGCTCTCGTCACCTCCTGGTTGTCCCCCAGAGCTCGGCTCACTTTCTTAGTGGAGGGCAGAGAAGCCCCCACCCCCCCACCCCACCCAGTGCCCTGTCTGTCCACACAGCCCCCTTCCACGCTGATCTGGAAGCCCAGTGGGCTGTTGTTCTTCATAATCAGAGACAGAGGTGGGAGGCGAGTAGGAGGGCAGAACCAGTGTGGGCAGGCAGCCTCGGGGTCCTGCTGCCAGCCAGGGCTGAGGGAGGAAGCCAGAGGACAGGACTGGGAGGAAGAACCCTCAGTGCTCATCCTCTAGCGTCTGATGGGTACACAAACCACCGCCTCAGCCTCTTCTGTGTCAGGAGGAATAACTGAAGAGAGCGGTTGCTGTTACTAAGGGAACATTAATGTATTCGTTTCCAAACATTGATTGAGCACCTACTATGTGTCTGGGATTGTATTGGATGCTGAGAGTGCAATGGTGTTATTCGCCTACAGTTAGTGTGGGTCATGAACAACAGCGATGAGGCATCGAGCTGGGTGGCTGGGAAGGCTTCAGAGAGAAGAGGACATTATAGCTGGGTTCTGAGAGGAGAAATGGACAGTCTTTGGGGCACTTATTCATCCCACAGAGTTGTGCTGAGCTCTGATTGTGGTGTTGTGCATTGGGATAATGGGGCCAGATTTAACCCCCTATCTAGGTGTGAAAAAGAGGTGGTTATAAACAGGATGAATTCAGGGGGAGGGCTGGTCCCCCAAACCCAGAGCTTCTTAGCTTCACACAGCTGGGAGGGTTCACCTGGGGGTTATGTGACAATCCACACAATCTTGGGGCATCCATTCCTCAGCCCTGGACTCTAGGACTGTTTCCTTTAACAAATCCTTGCTTTATGCCCCTCGCCCCAATTCTGTTTGAGTGAAGAGAACCGGCTCTCCTTCGCATTTCTGCTCTTTCAATTCCCAGGCTCCTTTGGGAGATGACTGACAATTTCCGAATCCATTCAACACTTGTCTGCTGTGGCCCTACTCTGTCTGTTAGGCTGGATGTTGAGGACTTAGTGATAAACAAGTCAGAGCATCCACCCTCCTGGCCTTTAGAATCAAAAGCATCTCTGAGACTTCCCGCTGGATCCCAGTCTAAGCCCAGTCCTTGAGACCATGACCTCCATGGTCCCAAACACCTTCTCTCTCCTGTTTTCCTTCCCCCAAGGGTTCAGAATACTAGCTCACACTTACATAGCTCTGTCAGGTACTCTTCTAAATGTCTCAGGTGTAACGCCTTATCTAATTCTCCAAACAGTCCTATGAGGTTAAGTACTTGGAAGAGACTCAGGCAAAGAGGAAAGAAGAAATATTCCTAAAGAGGACCCCAGAAGGTAACGGCAGGGCTGGGATTTAAACCTAGGTCCTTTGACTGGGAAGGCCCTGTTCTTAACCAGTAGGCAAACCTCCCTCCTTGAATGACCACAGAGTGTGCACTGGAGCCAGGGGTCTAGGAGTGTCCAGAAGGGACTCCGTGGCCCTGTTCCGTGGGTGATACAGAGGAGATTAATCTGTTAGCTGAGCATGTGTGCTGATACCTTTACAGGGAGCCCCAGCAGGTCTAGAGTAGGATTGGTAGGGCTGGGGTGACTGCACAGAGCTGGCATCCTGCATCCTGTCCTAATGGCCGTGTGTGTGTGTGTGTGTGTGTGTGTGTGTGTGTGTGTGTTCCCTCAGCCTTAGTCACCAAGAGGAACAGACCAGGGTTTGATGTAAGATAGAACTCAACATGGATGTGATGTGCCAGAATCTGGGAAGAAACCAAGACACCTCTTTTGTTGGGAATCTTTAAGAATAGCAGAGAGCCCTAGCTTGTTTCGCTCAGTGGATAGAGCGTTGGCCTGCGGACTGAAGGGTTCTGGGTTCAATTCCAGTCAAGGGCACATGCCCAGGTTGCAGGCTTAATCCCCAGTAGGGGGCGGGCAGGAGGCAGCCGATCAATGATTCTCTCTCATCATGGATGTTTCTAGCTCTCTCTCCCTCTCCATTCCTCTCTGAAATCAATAAAAAAGATATTTTTTAAAAAAAGGAAAGAATAGCAGAGACCATCACGTTCTAGATTCCAGAAGGAACACCCTTCTTGGTAGCTGACTAAGGAAGCCGGGTCAAGGAGTGGAAGCAGTCTTTTTTTTTTAAATATATTTTATTGATTTTTTACAGAGAAGAAGGGAGAGGGATAGAGAGTTAGAACCATCCATGAGAGAGAAACATCCATCAGCTGCCTCCTGCACACCCCCTACTGGGGATGTGCCCGCAACCCAGGTACATGCCCTTGACCGGAATCGAACCTGGGATCCTTCAGTCCGCAAGCCGACGCTCTAGCCACTGAGGCAAACTGGTCAGGGCATGGAAGAAGTCTTAGGATGCTTCCCTCCTCCCACAGCTGCTGCATCCCAAAGCTGCCTCGGTGGATCTGACCCCACACTTCTGGGCGGGTCAGAATCTGGGAGGTGGGAAACCAAGACGCCTCTTTTGTTGGGAATCTTTAAGAATAGCAGAGAGCCCAGCTGGTTTGGCTCAGTGGGTAGAGCATTGGCCTGCGGACTGAAGAGTTCGATTCCGGGTTCGATTCCAGTCAAGGGCACATGCCCAGGTTGCGGGAAGAATTGGACAGTGGCCCTTACAAAAACCAGGCCACAGGACAGCGGTTCCATGGATCCCAGCCGTTTTCCCATTACCTTTCTGAAACTAGGTTTCTCACAAGAGCTCTCTGCACAGATCTGGCGACTCCCGGAGGCTGTGTTCTCTGCCTGTAGTCAGTCCCACCCCACCCCCACCCCCGGTGTATCTTTGAGAGAGCGGTGTGTGTTGGGGGATGGTAACAGGTAAGGAGAACGTGGACGTTCAGAACTGTGCCGGCGTCCAGGCTCCTCTTCTGCCGCTCATACCCCCCTTCTTCCTCGTCAGAGGTGGGTGCAGGGGAACCTTCGGGTGCCCCAGCCCCCTGCGCCAGGCACACTTCCGACTGGGGAGAGAGAACAGGTTGTACTCTTCAGAAACCACAGGAGGAAGTTTAGGGAGGGCTGGGGTGCGGAAAGTTCTGGGGCCCCTGCCAAGTTTCCCTTTCGGTGCCCAGCGGGTAGATGTGTTTATTTTGGTGTGTTTCTCTTGCCCTCAAAGACATTTAACTTTTAAACCCTCCGAGTTTTAAAGAGCTGTCGAGGCCTGCCCCGTTTCCGCAGGAGGGTGTGGCCAGAGACAGGCTGGAAGTGGTATCAGAATGAGATAACCTTTCTGGGGCTTCCGCCTGGGATTCATGCTGCTGGGGAAAGGCTGCCTAACTCCAGAAAATCTCCTCTTCTCCTTCTGCCCTTTCACCTTCCTCTTCCCCGAAGCACTCCCGGCAGCCCTGCATTCCTCAGAGGACTGTGGTTACGAGGCCACTGAGGAGCCGGGTGCTGGCGCCAGAAGCTGTCCGAAATCTTTTGCCTGCCTAATCTCATTCCCCACATCTTCAGGTTGTAAAAACCCCTACTCCCAATTTACAGATGGGGAAACAGGCTCAGAAAGGCTAGGAAACTGGCCCGAGGGCCCCCCAGCTAGGAGGGGCAGAGGTCAGATGTGAGCAGTGGTCTCTGATTTCAAAGCCTGGGCTCTGGATGTCTCATTGAACCCCCCCACCGAGCATCCGCTTCCCCAACACATCACTCCCCGAACAGCAGGGAGGCTGAAACCCAAAGATGTGTTTGAAAACGATGCTGACAGTGTGGGGAGAGGATGGCTTGGGTACAGAATTGGAGGAAATTCCTTGGGAGTTAGTATATTAAAGAAGAACAACTGAGCGGGGATGTGGGGGGCGGGGGTAGAGAAGACACAGTGGGTGAAAGGTTGAAGTCACGCTCTGAAGGCCGAGCCCAATGGGAAGAACATTGAGGAGGGATAGTGTAGCTGTGTCCAAACATCGGAAATGTTGCCTGTGGAAGCCCCCAGGTAGGGGGACCAGAGGAGGCAGATTTCTAAAACGCAGAAGAACTTTCTAGCAGATAATTGCCTATTTCCTCCCGAAGAAGTCAGTCCCTCCTGTAAGAGAGTCTAGAGCACATGCTTTTTTTTTTTTTTTTTAATATATGCCATTGATTTTTTACAGAGAGGAAGGGAGAGAGAGACAGAGAGTTAGAAACATCGATGAGAGAGAAACACCGACCAGCCGCCTCCCGCACACCTCCCCACTGGGGATGTGCCCGCAACCCAGGTACATGCCCTCGACCGGAATCGAACCCGGGACCCTTCAGTCCGCAGGCCGACGCTCTATCCACTGAGCCAAACCGGTTTCGGCAAGAGCACATGCTTTGGAGGGGCTTCTGCCGCCGAGGAGACCCTAAAAGTCCTTCCACCTCTAAACCTCCCGCTTAATCCCTTCCCTGTCACCCTCCTTTCCTCCGTGCTCCCTGGCCCTGGGTGTCTCATCCGTCCACCAGGTGGGGCTGTTGCCCAGTGTGTCGCTCCAGAGGCAGCTGGGCTGGCTGAAGAGCTCCACCTGGTCCTTCCGCCGCCATCTGGCTGGGTGGGGCCTCTCGGCCACCCCATCCCCAGCTATCTACATACCAAGGCACAGACTTTTGACCCATAAAATACCTCTTAGGTCTCCTCTGGGCTCAGGCTAGACCGGGCAGGCCTCTGCCCCTAGGGTAGGCTCTCTTCCCCGGGTTACGGATTCCCTCCCTCCGACACTTTCTCTTTCCCCTCCTTGACCTTCTTTTGCCCTTGAACCAGAAAAATCCATATGTGGGTGCAGTAGGCAAGGCCAGCAACCGTCATGGGCATGGCAGGGTACCTAGTGTGGCATGGCTTTTTGGACCCTTCAAAGGCATGACGCCCGTGTTATCTCCTTTAAGGGGCCTCAAAAGCCAT